CGTATTAAAATACTTAAAAGGTGTTATCCACTCACCTTGACAAAAAGCATGCTTCTAAACCTTGCTTCATCAAGCCTTGCTCATTTTATGATATTTGAGTTCAACACAACTTATCATAACAATTTTTAGTATAAATCCTTATTTTTCCAACTAACCCATTTATTTGAAACAAACCTAGTAAATCCAAATTCTTCGTTTCAAGCCAACAGCACATAATACTTCAAAACAAAATCATATATAATGAAACCTTAATCATTCTTACCTCCATAACCTTGTTGAAGAACAAAAATCTCCAAATCCCTAGCTTAAATTCAGATTAAATGAGCTAAAATTTTACAAAATCCATGAGTTGGGTTGAAACCTTGTGATTAAAAGCCAAAAATGCCAAATCTTACCTTAAATTCAAGTTTGGAAGGTTGAATCCTTGTCCAATGGGGTTCTGAAAAGTTGGAAGAAGGTTTGGTGGTTATTGGCCATGAGTTGGAGGTTGAGAAAATGAAAAATGAAGGTTAGGGCTCATGTTGACTCTCTTATATTTTTTTCTATCAGAAGGAGTTATAGTCAACTACCAAAATTTTATAGTTGACTATTGGGGTGCAATAGTTGACTGGACCTTCTCTATAATCGACTAGGGCTATGTTTCCTTAAAGATCTCATGCCTCTTATCGTAGGATCGACTGGCCAAGCTTTGTAGTTGACTAGGGCTTTATTTCTTTCAACATTCTTGTGCATTTTGCTATAGGATCAAGTTTATCCATTGGGGATTGATCCCCTAAGTTCACACTTGTAAAAATTTATTCTTTTAGCTTCCTTCGTCAACCATAATTCATCCATGAATACAACATAATAATATGAAAGGATTTACATCAAATGACAAAGAATTCTCATTAGATAATCACCAACAATTATATAATTTATCAAAATTCTAGTTTAACCTAATATTCACAATATGTAAAATTTGGGGTTTCACGATAGATTTTTATTATTAACAATTGACTAATTATTATTAATCAAAATATTACTTATTATTTTGTACTCACACGATGTTGACATAGGGGATGAAAAAGATCACATGACCATGTTATCATACTATATTAGTATGTCATGTTACCATCTATTATGATTTGTTAACATGTCACCTCAACGTCATATAGTATAAAAATGGTAAGTGATGTTTTGACTAACGACAATTTGTCAATCATTTATTATAAGGGCCTATTTGGTTTAAACTAAAATTATAGGGTTTGATTAAACATAATAAAATAATAATGACTTATTTGAATTTTCCTAAATGGTTCAAGAATCTTTGTAGATATTATGCTATTAAAGTATATTTTAATTAAAATTTAAGTGTCAAATATGTTTAAAAATAATAATATATTTACTTAAAGAGACGAATTTAAATGAATTAGGTCAAGATTTTAAAATATTAACTAAGTCTCAACCCGACCATAAACAGTTCTACATTCCACATTTGTTGATCTTCAACCAAGCCCAAATGTCATATTATCAATAGTTCATGTCACTTTTCATTATAATATATTAACATACCATATCAATATAACATGATATAAAAAATAACAAGTGACGTTTTGATTAACACAGTTTATCAACAGCTAATTATAAATGTCTATTTGGTCTAAAATAAAAATAGATGGGCTTGATTGAAAATAATAGAAAAATAAGAATTTATTTGATTTTTTTTGAATAATTCAAAAAATTTTATATATTATGCCATTAAAAATATTTTTTAATTAAAACTTAAATGTAAAATATGTTTAAATATATTAATATAATAATTTAAATATTTTAATAATATATTTAACTTAAATGGATGAATCTGTACAAGTTTTTAAAAATAAAGTTTTCCTTGTTGATTACCTGCTCATCAATGAGGCATAGTTTTAGGACTTTACTTTTCTTGTACTACATGGAAGTTTATGTTAAATATTTCCATATTTACTTTTACTTGCACACCGAGCTTAGGAATTATTATAAGGTAATCAAATTAAGTTTACTAAATCAAGCAATTTACTTTATACTTAGATCTAAGGTATTTTGTTTTTCTCTCATTGGAGCAATAATACTTATTTATTCTCCCCAATCTCTTTCTTCATATTTACTTACTTTGCGTTTTCACACTGATCATCAAGAAACCTCGTTTAGGCTTGTTTAGTCTTACGAACATGAGATTATAACTCATTCAGAACTTGGCTAAAGTTCCAAGCCCGTGATAGTTGGTATCAAAGTAACACTTCCTAAAACTAGGTATCACACGATTTAAAGATTGAGAGAGAGAGAGAATGACATCAATTGGTGACCAGACCACATCATTATTGAACACCTTGGTTCAAAATAGTGTAAGCGTTGCAAACAGGGAAATTGTGCGGACATTTGCCTTGAAATGTTACTAGTCTGAGGACATCTTACAAGCATTGGATAACCATATATCTCACCATAAGACGGTTATTAATCATAATGTGTGGAGCAACTTCGAACAAGTTGAAGACAATGTCAATAGCGATGAGTTTCGCAAAGGGTGGCACATCATGATGGATTCATTAATTTGCCATGATGTGGGGCTAGATGAATTGATGGCAAACAAGTACTGGGAAAATGTATTCCACGACTTCTTTACAGGGTAAAAGAGATTTGATTCACTAAGTTTTGACACTACTTACGTATCAAGCTTAAATTCTATGTGTGTCGCAAACAGAAACACTGCACACATAGGAGTTGTGGACTTGGATGACACTGGCTAACCGCAAGCTAGTAATCCACATGGCAAAACACATCCTAACTTGAAAATATTCTTCAGACAGTCAAAAGAAAACTGCCTTAAACACACCTGTAATGCTTATGGGAAACCTGATAAAAACTTATGGCGGAAAGAGACCACAAGGTAATAAAGGCGTTACCTAAATCAAGTAGGGAAAAATGTCACGGTCCATAGATCCGTGACTAGTCCAGGCCATATGGATTCCCAAGCAAGTCCACATGTAGAGGTCCATCAGCTGTAGCCTTGGCAACCTAGCAAAGTATTCTAAGGCAGTTAGAATACTTTCCAAAAATAAAGTTTCCCTTGATGATTACCTGCTCATTAAGGAGGCATAGTTTTAAGGCTTTACTTTTCTTGTACTCCAAGGAAGTCTAACTTAGATAATTTCATATTTACTTTTACTTGCACGCAAAGTTTAGGTTAGGTAAGCTTTTATAAATAGCACCTTTATGAGTCATTGTAAGGCAATCAAATCAAGTTTATCAAATCAAGCAATTTACTTTATACTTTGATCTTAAATACTTTGCTTTTCTTTAATTGAAAAAGTAATACTTATTTATTCTTCTTAATTTCTTTCTTCAAATTTACTTACTTTATGTTTCCGCCTTGATCATCAAGAAACTTCGTTTAGGCTTACTTAGTCTTACAAGCACAAGACTATAATGCCCACAGAACTTGGTTAAAGTTCCAAACTCGTGACACTTGACCCAATCATAAACTTACCTTGCACATATGTAAATATTTTACGGAGTCCAAAAATAACCCCAAACATTTCCAAAAAACATAAACATGAAGTTTTAAGGCAATGTTAGAAAGTTTATAAAGATGGGTGTTTCACGTCTTAGAGCATGTGTGGCTTAGCTTTTTTTTTTTGCTTAAAAGCTATTAAAAATCTCTTATAAAAAATAACAACTTTTAAAATTAAGCTAAAATTATTTGGTAAATTTACTTTTTATAAGTTCTTTTTTATAGATAAGCTGTTTGACAAAATAACTTATATAAATTTTAATTTTGATTAAAATTAAAATAAAAGGTATTTAACAAATCAGGAGAAAAAAATTGAATTAAATAAAAAAAGATGAATGTGAAAAAAATATAATTTCTCCTATAATATTATGAATTGATGAAAGCTAAAAAAAATATAAAAAAATATTTTTTGTTATTTTTTAAAGATTGGTTTAAAATTTATGACTTTTGAAGCTGAACAAAATTGATGTTACATACGAGGAAAAGAACCAAGGTGATATTAATAATGGATCCAACTAGGTCAGGAAAATTACGTTTAGCCATTGAATTGGTAACCTATTTTCCTATTGAAATCATAACACTAATTCAAAAAAAATCTATCAAGGTCTTGATGTCCTCACCAACAAAGTTCCCCTCCATGAACTAAAAAGTTTTGGCTTTTATTTTTTTTTTCAGTTTTTAATGAGTTATTATTTTGTTAAGGATTGCCTCATCTTCTGTTGGGTATTGTTAGGTCATATATGAAATTATTTAAAACTGAGTTACCACAAATAAGTACAAATATTGATTTTTTAATTTTTATTTAATTTATTTCAAAAATCATTGACCTATTTAATTAATTATTTCAATCATAATCAATAAATTTTATATCCATTAGAAAGAAATTAAAAACAAATAAACATCATGTAATTATCAATAATAAACTAAGAAATATCAAATAATAAAAAAAGTTTTAAAAAAAACTGATAGAAAATAAAATAATAAACAAAACAAAATGAAAAAGAAAAAACAATACTTAAAAGTAGTTTTGAATTTTGAGTTTTTTTTTTAAATTTTTGTAAGAATAAAATAAATCTTAGAATGATGATTTCTACAAAGGGAGGAGAGAATAGAGAGATCGAGAGGAAACAGATTTTTTTTAGAGATGATTTTTTTTTTAAAAATAATTTTCTTAAAAAGTTAGTGTATTTTTTTAAAAAAAAAACTCTAATTTAAATTTTTTAAAATTTTATTTTATAAAAAAGTTATTTTTTAAAATTTTTTTATAAATTACTGTTTAATAATTTTTATTTTTAAAAAATAAACAAGTTAAAAATAAGGTAGAGGGAACCGGCACTAAATCTTGGAGAGTTCCATGACACATACTGGGCCATCCAAGTCAGCTTAAGCAAACGGCGCCGAAACATCAGACGGTAACAGCCGTTTTATCTTTATCAATCAATCCTATATAAAAGTAAAAACCCTCCCTCACGCTGATCTCCACTCTTCTGTTAAAGCGCGTCACCGCCCTTATTTCGTAGGGCAAATTCCTAATTACCATACACTCTCTCTAGCTTTGAATCTTTAAATCAAACAGTCGCATCTTCCCTTATCTCCCTCTATCGCTGCCGCCTCAATGTCTCAGGTATTCTTTTCTTCCAATTCTTCTCAATTTCCCTTCATTAGATTTCTGCTTCCAACCCTAATAGATCTAAATTTAAAATGATCTTGGATTTTATTTCCCCTAGCAAAGCTAGGGTTCTTTCGAATTCGTGTCTTGTTATTGTCCAATTCTCCAAAATATCATTTCAAAGGCGAATGTTTCGTAAAATTTTACTTGTTATATTTACTGTGAAATTGGAGGCGTTGTTTAAGGTGATTTACCTGTGCTCTTTGTCTTGTGTGTGTGCTTTAGGTTGATAACAGAAATTCTTCAGCAGCCAAGCGTGCTAGAACTGATGGTATACTATTTAATTGCATTTAATTCTTGTGTCTTATTTTGTGTTTGGTTTGTTATTTGGGGATGTTGAAATTTTGTTGTTAAAATTTGTAGGTAGTCGTAGGGAAGATGATTGGACATGCCCCAGTTGTGGGAATGTCAATTTTTCATTTAGGACTACTTGCAATATGCGCAATTGCACTCAACCCCGGCCAGCTGATCATAATTCAGTAAGTCACCATTTGTATTAACGTTCTAACTCTGGTTACATGTGCATGTGTTGATATTCCAAATATTTCCAGAGTTTTGAATATGGATGAATTGTATATTCTTGTAGTTTGGGCACACGGGGAATTGTTTTTGTGATGTACAGAGTGGAATTGTATTAACACTATGTAATACAAGAGAAAATACTTAGAAATACTTGAGTTAGCAATTTGTTCTTAATGACTTTAATCTTGGTTCTGGTGCTGATAAGTGAGGAAAAAGATAGAAGCAGAGAGTGATATGTAGTACCCAACTGCATGCTTTCCTATAGAGTCTAGCCTCTCTATGTCCTATGTTTTTGTTTTAATAATCAGTTCATCACAATGCCTTTGTATTTGTTTTTTTATTTCTTTAGATCCTAACATTTCTTTATAGGTTTTTTCTCCCATTCTTTTTTTAAGATTAAATTGGAAAATTTTTCTCTTTCAGAAATCTGCAGCCAAGCCTGTGCAAGCCCCACAGAATTACTCATCCTCAGCTCCTTATGTAGGTTCTGGTGCACCATCTTCAATGTATCTGGGTGTGCCACCTTATGGTTCTTCCCTCTTCAATGGTTCCTCAATTCCTCCATATGATGTTTCTTTTTCTGGAGGATCAGCTTATCATTACAATTATGGCAGTCGTCTTTCTGGTGGCAGTCCCTATCGGCCGCTGCATATGTCTGGACCACCCCCTTATTCTAGTGGATCTATGATTGGAAATGGTATTGGTAATTTCCTTTTCCCGTTTATAATTGCTATTATATTCCGATCCTTTTACTTATTCTAGTCTCCTGTTTATACTTTCTTGCAAGTTAAAATGTTGACCAAGAACACACATAGATCATTATTCACTCATATCTGCAAAATATGGCTAATTATCTCTGTGCATATATGGGGCCAGTAATCACATTAGTAAGTTGTGAATTTCTCTTTTCCAGGTGGAATATATGGCATGCCTCCTTTGATGGATCGGTATGGCTTGGGGTTGCCCATGGGCCCTCCTCCAATGGTAAGTTGAATGCTAGTTTGAGATCGCTCTTTGTTAGAACTGTCAAATTAAGATTGCAATTTTGGTATTTTGTATCACTTCTCTAAGTTGTAATTGCCCATTTTCTAGGTTTGAATTCGTAAACTTGATTTTTAGGCTGCAGATTGATTCTAAATTTTCTCTATTTGCTTTGCACCATCTAATCATTTTTAACTTTTGGTGGAGCTACGTCGTCATACATGTGAGTTAAAATTAATGATATAATATGTATTAACCTGCAGGGACCAAGGCCAGGGTTTTTTCCAGATGATAAATTGCAGAAAAAGGGTGCCGGTATGTTATATCTACACTGTTATGCTCAAGGAAGCCATTCACTAGGTAGTCCAGCAATTTTGTGCAATAGTTTGATGAATTTTTTTCCTAATCATCTCCAGATGCTACACGTGATAATGATTGGACATGCCCAAAGTGTGGGAATATTAACTTCTCTTTCAGAACTGTCTGTAACATGCGGAAATGCAACACACCAAAGCCTGGATCTCAGGTTTTTGTTTTTTTATTTATATATTTAATGTTGATGAACATTTGTGCTCTTTATTACCTAAGTTGCCTTTGGTACTTTGAAAACTGAGAAGTATATGAAATGTTGCATCCTCTTTTCTGCAGTTATGAATCTATTTCTGATTTTAACAAAATTCTCTTGTAAATGCAGGCTGCAAAATCAGATAAAAATTCAAGTAAGTTCTCTTAAATTTGTAAACATTATTCTGTCTTGTTTTTTAAATTTGATATATATCTGTTTCTTGCTTTTCAGAACAAAAGATGCCCGAGGGGAGCTGGAAGTGTGAAAAATGTAGCAATATTAACTACCCATTCAGGACTAAGTGCAACAGACAAAATTGTGGGGCTGACAAACCAGCTGAGTCCAAAAAGTCCCCTTCACCAACAGCAAATGAAAATGATCAGGTTCGTCGTGTGATGCATTTTTGTTGTAGTCTAGCTTGTTACTTGAAGCTATTGCTTTCATTGACAGCATTTGTACACATTAAGAACTCATTAGCTTTCAATATCTCAAAACTATTCCTAGTTAAAGATTTTTGGGCTACCTCCTCTATCTGTTTCTTTCTTTGTGTTTGTGTGTTAAACTATTACTATATCTCCTGCGTTTTAGTAAACAGACGTTTGAATGTTACCTTGTTACTTTTAGTTTCATTTTGTCTTTCTTTCAATTGATTTGCAATTGTCTACTGTTCCAGTGAGTTCTAGGACATGTTTGAGGGTTGAGAAGGTCCAGAGTTGTCGTCCAGCTTTGCTCAATATGGGTGTCTGAAAGTCAGTCTTGTCATCATCATGTTGCAGCGGTTGTCAAGTCACTCTATCTTCTCATGATCAGTGTCCAGTTGTTGTATTAATGCTGTGGTATTTGTGGTCTTTATGGATCGTTGGTGCATTATGTGTCAGCCATCTTAATCTGCAAAATATTTTACAGGTTGGTTCTGGTTTCTATTAGTTAGGTTTTGTACTTTGGAATCAACTCATCTATTCTAGTGAGCATGTTACTGTGGACTTAGCTTTGATGCTAGTGGGGAAAGATTCTGCACGTTGCATGTTTCTGGTTTTCATTCAGTTTCAGATTGTCTGTCTTGAGTTGTCATTGTTTCAACAGAAAGCTTCTGTTAGAAGCATATGAAGTACTCAACTTCATTAATTAGATTTATTGTCAGGTAATGTGGTAGTAGGAAATTTTTCAGGTGTTCTCATACTGGACCGTAGGAAGTAGAGGCCAATTTTGTATTGTGTTTTTTGCTTCTGACATGGTCTAAACAGGGATCTTTGTGATTTTGAAAGATTTTCTACAAATCTTTCAGAAATTTCACATTGACCCATTGGGATAATTACTGTCTCCTATTTGGCACCATCATAGGTTAGCTAAGTCTCCTGTGGGCTTTATTATTGCATCGGTGTTAAAGTACTCTGGTCAACTTTGTTGTATGTATGCATTTTTCCCTTGTCATTGGAGGGTGGTCATCCTGAATTGAGAACCACTGGTTTGTTCTCAGTATTTCATGTTGCATAAGTTCCCAAATGTTCGCATGGAGCATGGAGAAAATGCAGGTTTGAAATTAAGTTGAAGCTGCCTATTTAAAAGCCTGTTTTGATGTGTTATCAACATTTCTGGTAGCCATGTAATTTTTGGTCTAAATGACTGAATTGTCGACAGGTCATAATGTTCATTGAGTTTGTTGGCTGAGGGAATTCTGGTTTTGTCCGAGTACTCCCCTAGGATAGTTTTTAGTGTGTTGGCTAACCGGTTTCATATTTTGTTTTTCTTTTTCCTTTTTGGCTAACACCATGGACTTGATTTAAATAACCATGACCTTATACTCAAGTGAATTGGTAAGGGCAATGAACAGTAGTACTATGTATATTTTAGATCATGAATAGCAGCAGCGTTATAGGTTTTCGTTTTGAAGAATAATGTTTCAGCCAACATGGGCGTATCATGCAAACGCACTTTGAATTTATGCATTCCAATATGCTTGTGGTAACCCAACTAATGAAAGCGTTTCTCTGTGGTCTAACATAGTGGCTTTTAATCAGCTGCTCTGGTGCCTCTGCTTTACCCACTGAACTCAAATTTCCAACACTTGCATTGACATTGTAAATGAGAACTGTGAGTGTTAGCTACGCAGCATTCCATGGTCTGGCATATAGCCTTTTAGTCATCTGACTGTATCAACTGAAATCTAATTACAAGCGCCAACGATGTGATCTATTTTGAAGATGGAAACTAATCTATGTTGAAGTTTTAAGTTGCAGATGCACGGTGTGTTGTGGTGTGCACTATCCAGCAGATGTAGATGCCCTTTATAATCAACAAATCAACTCTCTCATTTTTCCTGCGGCTAAAATCTGAAGAAAGGGGTAAAATACTTGGAAAGAGTTGGCCCTCGAGTATAGTTGAAGAGTAATAAGCAACAATCTAAACGTAAAATGTATTATTGCCTAATAGGATTTAGCAAGATGTTTAATTGCCCAATATTATTATCAATACCTAGCTTTGTACTGGGTATAGGAATATGTATATACATAAAAAAGTAAAGGGCCTACGCCATACAGGCCTCTAATTTCAACATCTCCTAGCTACTAAATTGAAGAGGAGCAGATTAAGCTATAAAATGAAAACAAAATATTTTTTTTCTCTCAATATATACGTGAGGACATTAAATTTTGAATACAAAAACCTCCTACCAAACTCTTGTTCTCTCTCTCCGATTGAGCCAAAAATGATTCGATATTATGGGCGTAGATTAGTGGTATCGGATGTAACGCAGTATTTTTGCTCCATCATCACTCTCTGCCCACATCCTACCCGACACAAACTGGGCCTGTGGCTAAGTTAGGCTATGACAAAAGTTTGTGCATCGGATCAGAGCACTGGAACACGGTACATTTTCCACGAATTGTAGTGAACCCGTGATCCACTAGGACGGATGTTGTAGTCGGGCCGGACAGAGCAAAATTAGCCATCAGCATTATGCCATCACACATCGTTTATCGGCATGCAAAGTGACCCTAGTAAAATTGGTTTGGCTTCCTTTTATCCACTCTCTAGTACTACTGTCATTAAAAGATGAACCATAAATTTTGGACGAACTCTTTAGCTGCTGTACTCTGGTTTGAAAGTTTCAAAACGTCATTGATCTCCAGCAGAGAAATTAAACGAATTAGCAATTACTTGAGTGCTCGTACAATGCATGGTTTATGGCGCCCTCTCATGACACTGCATTATACATCCAGAATTCTTAAGCAAATGATTTTAACAGTGGAAATGTAGCTTGGACATGAATTTATGTGCAAGCGTACTTGTGCTGCACACAACATTTAAGCGTCAAGTGACTTCCAATGGGATCAGAAATTCCAAAATACGGAAAACTATGTGAAAGAGGGCTTGTTAAACTTACATATCTTAACAAGTGAACCTACCCAAGTTGAAAAAGGTTAAAATTACATTTGTGCAGTCAGTTCATCTGATTGGAATAAAAGCCACCATCATATGAAGCCTTGAGTAGCTGGAACTCTTGGAAATGATTGTCAGCATCACCATGCAAGGTTGTCTGCACTTGGGATTCAGTTGTCTGTTGTTCCATCTGCCAGTTTTCAGATAAGGCACATGGAAAACCTTGAGAAATTACATTCATTACCGGCTGAGAGGTACTGGTAGGATTAGCATGTATGGAGTACGCAAGTGAACCATGTTTTGGCTCACATGAAATCCATGAATCATTTGACAGAAGAGAGAGAGCACGATGAAGATCTTGCGTCGTACCCATATTCGAAGTAAGTGTGGGTTCTTCTACACCTGCAATATTCGGCAAAACTGGTAACCTAGTAAATCAGTTTAGTAAGGAGTGCATCATTCTAAATTTTAACAAACATGAGAGGTCTTTAGTACTGTGACTTATCTCTCATTGGGATCAGCAACATGTACGTCTACTGTGAAGTTAATTATACATCTTTCTATAGTTCATCTATCATATTCCACAAAAAATATTCCATGCCTAAGCCCCACATGCATAAAAAATTTTCCTATATGTATGTGATCCCTCAAGTAGAGTATTACAGCATGGCACTTTACCATACACAGACCATTCCAAAAAAATAGCCATGTTTTTATCATCAAACATCAATTACCACCTCTCTCTATGCCTCTTATTTCTGGAATCACTAGATTCAAATATAAACACATCATCACATGCTATCCAAAAGCATCAAGAAGCGTGTCATAGCATAAGGATCTCATATATCTGTTAACCAAACAAATAAAACTCCACACGGCTGTTTGCTTTCTTGAAACTATTTGCTTCTCCTCATTCATGTATTAGACACTTCAATTTCATTCCACTTGACAGTCACATCCTGGTTATTTACCATTTATAATAACAATCTTTTATTGGTCTGGATATAATTGTATAAAAATAAAGCTAACCTCGCATAGAGGGAAAAAGGCTAACAGGATAGGCGGCTCGGAGATTTATTTTTTCAGTAAAATTTGGCCCCTATCAGCTACCATACCTTTTAACTCAACAAATCCAATAAGGTAGCCTCTGATTCATTCATCCTTAACACCTTAACACAACAACAGCAAAGGCTACAGAGAAAAAAAACAGGCACCCTTTTTTTTCCTCTAGAAGAAACACTATGACAAAAGAAATTGGCCAGAAGAAAATCTAGTATGTGAAAGGGCAGCTTTGCAGACTGCAAGGAATTGAGGTTACAAAACCATCTGTATCATACCAAATTAGTGGCACCTTGAGATTCCCACCTCATAAAAAGTCTCAAGTCTCAAAAGTCAGCGCCTTGTAATTGCATTTATATTTTTCGCTAAGGGAGCGTTCTTGAGGGTATTTATTGTATTACATAGTTTGACGAGGATTCTTGTATTAAATAAGCAGTCAAAGATGCCAGATAACATTGTTAACAATCAAAAACCAAATGCATGGGAAATTCTTGTTTCCAAGTAAGACAAAAAAACCAAACCTTGGTTGAGAACCTCGCCTGTGTTGTGCTTGCCCTTGGTGGGCAAGAACCTACTGGAATCATGACATCGCATTGTGATGGAATTCAACAGCTGATTGCCTGGCAGTTGCAGCTGCCCATTAACATTTCCAACTTTTGTAGGTGTAAAACCTTTCATTTGAGAGGACTTGGAGTCAAATGTGCCTTCCCATGTAAAACCTTCATTAGGCCTAGCATGAAGAAATGGCACTTTATTCCAGACAAAACCCATCTGTGGCTTCCCATCTGCACAAGCAGAGGCAGAACTAGTAAAGCTTTACACCTGATATCTATCATCCTTGCATGACCACAAGATGATACACAGTTAACAGATGCTAACAGACAAAATTGCAGATATCACTTCAAAGACAGATGACACTTGCAAGGCAGAACAGCAATCAATAGAAGGTAGCATCCAATAAAGTATGGTCTAAATCTTGCCCAAACTATTTAGCAATAGCAAGTTAAAGAAAACAATCAAAGAGGTTACTTGATATGCATGAGATAATACATGCCCACGATATCTCGGTGATATTTAAATGGCATCCATATATCAAGAACTGCATGATAAGAATTAGAGGAGCATCATGAATCTAGATATTTTGGACTATGTAGACTTAATAACTTAGCAATTTCCAGGTCACTAATGTTCAAATTTTGTATAAACAATTATTCTTATATATGGCATATTAGTTGCAAATAATGATGTCAAATATATAAATACAAGAAAACCAGAAGAAACCATTACACCATTGACTTCAATGCAGACATGCACCATTTACAGGAATACAATTTAAATGGGAAAAAGTTATGTCAAGACACAACTTTGTTAAGGAATCACTCAAGATATTATTGACATTGTTATCCGCAAGCAATATGCATAATATAAAGACAATAAAAATATCAAGATATAAATATTAAACCATTTATAGTTAATGAATCAAAAAAAAAATATGACTTAGTTAATGAATCACACAACTCCATAATTTGAGAGTTAAAAAAATTAAAAAGCATTCAGTTGGCCTATTCTTGTGATAGTTGCTTGTGACAAAAATCATCTGCAGAAAAAATAGCAAAGTTGAGTCTGAAACCAGTACCATAGGATGATGATGTAAGCCTAGCAGCATTGAAGTGGACTGCTTCGGTCTGTGGTTTGCGACGCCTTGCATTGTGATCAGAAAGACGCCGGCGACAACTTCGCTTCTTTTCATCAAACTCCGACAGGCCATGGAACCTTCGACATTATGAACCATAATCATGATTTCAACATTGATCAGTATGAGAAATAATAAAAGACTCAGGAATAAGGAATCAAATTACTGATATCAACTAAGAGACGTCAAGTGTTTAATGCAAATATAGTTAGAACACCAGCAAAAGCACAGATAATCAATAAAAAAAAAATTCTTGGATACCATCAACTTCCAATGCACAGAACCAAGAAAAATATATACCTGCTACACTGCTGGCAGAACCGGCGCTCCAGACCACCTACAATGACCTTTGGACTCTTTGAATGACTTTCACAAACTCTGTGTTTCCGATGGTAATCCTTAGCTGAAGAGAGGTCAAGGTTACAGCCTTCGACTTGGCAATGTGGAACATGTGTGCTCTGACAATTGGGCTTGGATCTCTTTGCTGTGGTAGGAGATGGTGCAGGAGTTGCAGAACGAGATGAATTCTTAGCATTGCTTCCCGCACAAACATCTTCAAAGTATGTTCGTTTACCAAGCTTTAAACTGAGCAATGGCTCACCAGAGCCAACTGAAGCCTCAAGTGTTGGGGAAGTACCAGTTAGCTCAACCTTGGAAACTTCTTTCTTGTTGATAATATCATCTGGGGAAGCTTCAAGGGCCTCCAAAGAAAATTTTGTCACTTTTATCTCCCCCATAGATGAAGAATTAATGGACGCCGATTTCGAACTTTTAGACAAAGAAGCAAGGCCCAAATCTGAGCCAGAACCACCACTACCCCCAGCAGCGCCAGAAGAATAGAGAGACCCAGATTCCATTCCTCCCTCTCCGTCAATATCCCACTCTATTGGCCTTAGCTTCCTTGGAATTTCAGTTGGTGTCGAATTGAACATCATTAGGTTTTCCCAGTCCCATTGCAAGGAGGTTTTGGCATTCCACTCCATCAGAGAGATAGAACTCATAGAACACTTCACACAAAATTCTTCATATAAAACCCAAGCAACTTATCACCAGATCCTGAAAACA